TCGGGAACTCAAAAGACATCTGTTTATTATTGAAATGGAATTGCCCTCAACTTGTTGACTTTCATGCTTAGTTTAGGAAGAAACAATGGCTTGTTTAGGAAAAAAAGAAAAGAAGAACCGGAAGAAAATCCGATTTTTGGAGCAGAGGTGGAGGTCAGGGCAGAGTAGAGAAGATTCGGCAGAAAGAACGGCAATGTGAGATATTCAGCCTGGTGCATGATAAAGTCTGGCACCGCTGTGCTCAGCGAAGGTATTAATACTTTGTGCAGAGCAAATCTCTGCTGTATCCTAATGTGGATTGTATGTCCTAGGCATCCATACCCTACTAAACCATAAAAATACATTCAGAAGAAAAGACTCTATGGGTGTAGATTTCCCAGTTTGTCAGTATTGTTTATTTTTCTGGTTGTTGTCATTTTAAAATTTGTATCTTAAAGATTAAACGAATAAGCATCTGTTTCCAGGGGAGGAAAAAAACACTGTCCGTAATTGATTAATATCACCCAAATCCTGCAACTGCTGGAAGCCAGAACTATGAAAAAAACCTACCTTCCTATTGTTTCTTCTTTAAAGAACAAAAACAAAGTCTTCCACATAGACAAAGGTAGCCAGTAATGTCCCTATCTCTTAGGGGGAAAAAAAGTGAAGCTGAATTGAGTGAGCCACATTATTCATCCACTAATTAGTGGCACTAACTGGTTTCCTCGTTTCTAATCCAGAGGTCATTTTCAGTGGAATCTGCTCTGTGTATAAAAACCTAAAAAGCTCCCTTTCATCATTTTGCATTCCAGGATTCAAACAAAACATTAAATTGCTACCCTAAGAGGAAGATTTGTTAAAAGCAAAACCCCAAACTCCTTATGATTGTAGGAATCCCCTCAGTTTTGCAAGACTGGAGAAGTCTCCTCTGAATAAGGACCTTCACTCACTGCCTGGTGCCAATGGGTATTATTCAGCCCTAGACATCAGTAACCCCAAACTGAGGTCTCTTAGCCTGAATGAGGGGAAAATACAACATTAAATGGGTGGAGAAATAAGAGAGCTTAACATGCTAACAGGTTAACATGGTAGATGGGCCATCCAAAGGAGAAAAGTTCAGAGGAATTTATTAGGCTTCTAAATAATTCCACTCATTTATTTAAATAAGAACTTTTGAATGCCTGCTATGTAAGAGATGTCACTATATCTTAACTGTATAGTAATTCTGTTTATAAATCATCCTCCTCACCATCTCAAATCATACTCAACCTTCAAGGCTTCAGCTCAAAGCCCACCTCTTCCAGGAAGCTTTCTAAGATTTCTCCCGTGCTTCCCTCCTGTGGGCTCCCAGACTGGACACCCATAAGAACAGCACTGTTCTGTGCCATCCTGAACTACCTAAGTTCCTCTCCCCAAGATGAGTATTAGCTCCCTGAGAAAAGGGTCTCCATCTTATCACTGAGATGGTCTCCCTGATATGCTCTTTGGAATGGGATTTAAGAGAACTGAAAGCAGGGTTATCTTTCACCCATGTTAAGATTTAAATGACCTTAATTTAAATATGGGCTTCCCTGGTGGCTCAGATGGTAAAGAATCCGCCCACAATGAGGGAGACCTGGGTTCAGTCCCTGGGTTGGGAAGATCCCCTGGTACCCACTCCAGTAATCTGGCCTGGAGAAGTCTACGTACAGAGGAGCCTGGCAGGCTCCATGGAGTCACAAAGAGTTGGACACAACTGATGGGAAACAGCCTTCTTTTCCTTGGCTGTTTGATGCTGGGGAAAGATACCGACAAGGGAGAGGCAAGTGGGAAGCCCATCTAGATAATATGTGCTTTCTTGAAGGGGAGGCAAAATCAGACTTGTTCATTTGGGATGAGTAAGATGAGTCAAATTATCCAAATAATTCTGTAGATCTGGCCTTTGGGGCAAGTGTCATCCTTTTTGATACACTTAGGTGTTTAAAACAATTTCTCCCACCTTTGGGTCAAATATGCTTTAGAAACTTGGGGGCTGACACTTTGTCCAGACATAATGGGATAGCAATGGAGAGAGTCCACTTTTTTTTTTTTTCCTGAAACTGCCAGCATTAAGTCACCAAGCTTCCTGCTTAATACAGTGACTTTTGTTACTGCCCTCAGGGAAAGTTTGCAGTGTAGGAATCATTACACTTTCCCTCCTTTATTGTTGCCCGAGTAATCACAAGAGAGATAACATGCTCCCACCATCACAACCCAGTGAACTTTACTATTGAAAAGCTAAAAATTTTTTGTGGGGTTTGCAACTGTTGATGACTTTGGCAGAGAGATTTTCTTTTTTTAAATCAAGAATTCATGTATTCTCTTCCTTCCTTCTGATACTTGCTATTTTGATATGGGTCTTTCGGGGAAGCACTTTTCTTACATTTTTCAAAGCTTTTAAATGCTAGAAGTCCACCAATGCTGACAGAATCCAACGTAAGGCCAGAAGAACCTATGCTTCAAGTTGCTTGGTTTAACAAGCTCATATAACTATTATCTTTTTCCTATTGGGCACTTAAAAAAAATCTCACCTAATTCATAATAACCCTTCCTTATCATCCCAAACATTTCATTTCAGTTCCCGTAATATTTACTTCTTTCCCTACCCAATTAGGGAAAAAAAAAAATCTGCCCCGATTTTAGGAAGAAAAAAGATCTTTAAATTTTCTGAATGTAAGAATGGTTGAAAAGTTTCTTTCCCCTCTCAAATCAGCATTCATATATATATATATATATATTTATTTATACATCCATTTTCTTCTGTTGTGAGAACAGAATTGCCGCTTTTGCTTAACGCAAAAGGTTTTTGAAACGACACAAATCTGTATGTGTGTGTCTCTAGAATTAATACACTTGTATTCACTGAGATGGTGGGCTTTCCAACTAGGGGGAATTCGCCTTGGGAGAAGTACCCTGCCTGGGGAGCATTTAAGGAAATGTTAATATCCAAACAAAAGCAGTATTACCATTGCTATCCACTCCCTCCCCCAGAGGGAAAACAATTAATAATTTGCATATGCTCACGACACAAATTAAAGACAAAGGGCCCCCTCACAGACTGTGGTAACTCTGCAGCCCTCCACAAGCTGCACAGACCCAGCCCTGCACTGCTCTTGCTCTCAAATGAATTAAGCTCGGTAACTAAAAATAGTGGTTCTGGCCCCTCTGGCCCATTCCCACTGTAGAACCGAATTTCCCCAATGAAAAACATCTTCCAATTTCACTAGAGCTTCTAGGCAAAAAAAAAAAAAAAAAAAAAAGAAGAAGAAAGTATAGTTCCAAGGGGAAAAAATACGTATATACTTTGCCCTTTTTATTTTAATGGCCAAACATTGTAATGCTAGCTAAATAGAAATTCTTGTCTGTTAATAGGTTTCTTTAGTTTGTAATAAATAGGAATGCTAATGACTAAAATTTGGTATTTGGTATGCATTAGCTTTTGTGAGCTTTTCTTTACAGTCCTCATTGACATGCAATATGGCAAGCTTCCTTTGAAACATATTTATAAAATAACTACAGTATAATTAAACCAACAAAGCCATCTTTTAAGTAAGCTTAATAGCTCGGTTTTTTTTCACCTGGGTAAAATTTTATTTTAAAAAGAAAAATAGTTATGCTTCAATCCCACTGTATATTTTATTCTGTGCATCTAATATTTCCTTTGCATCTACAATCTATGCATATCTAATTCTTTTTGACAACTATGATTATTAATAAAGTGCTCATGAAAGATATGCTTCATAGCTTCTTCAACAAGAATAATGTTTTTTTGTTAATGAAAATTGTAACATATCTTGACAGACACAATATATAAGATCTGCTTTTTTCTTAATTGTTAATATTTCTGGGCTGAATACTCGAGGAGCGGATCAACAGATATGGCAGGTAATAATCAGAGTGGATGCTATTTTATACAATGTAACTAAAAATATTTTAATGATTTAAAAGCAAGAGATAAATAAAAGCAGTTATGTTTAATTTTGCTTTCAGTGTGCGAACAATTTTTGGTTGTTGTTGCTGCAGTTGCCGGTGTGTTTAATAGAGGAAGAAGATCCGAGCGCTGAATGAGCGGTACCGACTCGGCTCTGCCTTCTTGCAGCTGAAGGGTCCTGCAAGCGCCCTTTATCTGCTTTCTCTGCTCTCAGCGGTTTCAATGTCCCTCCTAGAGACGCAGGGCTCGGGCTGAATGCTAATTCATAAAACACAGTGGTTCAAGTTCACCAAGTTTTCCTCAGTTTTGCAAACTGTTCCTCCTTCGCTATGCCTCAAGATTTAAGACCCAAATGGAAAAACTCAAAAAGACACCAGGCGCCGACGGGAGCAAGTGGCGCTGGGTCTGGTGCTAGCCCGCCCCCGGACTCTGCCCACCCGGCTCGGCCCCACGCGCCTCGGTACTTCTCTCCGGGCCTGACAGGCCCCCAACTCCCCCCTCGCGCCGAAAATAAACACAGTTGACATCACTGTTTATAATCTTTATTTCAAACTGTTTCCAAGGCTACAAATTACCGTGCCTCCCATGCAACAGGTACCTCCGAAGCAGTATCATTACAGATTAACCGTAATGTGTGGGATTAGAATAAAAGCATAGGGATTAGGTAAAAGGGGGGACGCCCGAGAAATAACGCCCGAGCGCATCTCGGCTCAGAGGCAGCGGGTGGAATCCTCGTAGACGCTCGCTGCCCAGGAGCCGCAGCTCCTCGGCTCTCCGGCCCCGGAGCGGTCAGGGCCGGCGGTGCCCGAAGGGCTGGCGGGGCCAAAGGCTGCACGCCGGGAACGAATGATGGGGTCGCCAGGTTCGGGAGGACGAAGGGTTGGGAGGCCGCAGAGGCGGGGGGCGCGGGCCCGCCTATAGCCCGGTTGGGGGCCGCGGGTAGCACCGGGCTCAGGGCACCCTTCGCCGCGATACGCGGCGCCTGGAACTCGGCGAAGGAAACATCACGCCCACAAAGGGTCACAGGTCTAGGATGTTGCCCACGCCTCGTTCAAGGTCCAAGTCTAGAGGGTCAGTCCTCGTATAACTCCCGTGCCGCTGCCACTCTCTGCCGGGCTGGGTAGGGGGCCGGGGCCCGGCGGCAGTGGGGTGAGTGGCGGCGGCGCAGGCCGCCCGCTCCCTTCCGAGACCAGGACTTGGGCCTCTGCCGCCCGCCAAGGCCATGCGCCTCATTCGGCCACCTCCCAGGCCTGACCGACCCCTTGCCCCAGAATTTCAGAAAGAGCGCGAACTCCTTCTCCGCGCCTTGCGCGTTTGGAGCTCGCCTCGCTGGGCCCAGCGGGACTCGGGCCTGCCTTGGGCCACAGCCCCGGGGCCGCTGATGCCGCCCCGAGAACTGTTGGCGCGCCCCGGTGGAGGGCGTGGGACTGGGAAAAACCAACGGGGCCGGCGCGCGGGTTTGGGGTGGGGACCGGCTGGGGGCTGGAAGGAAGTTCGCGGTGTGGCCGCGGCGTCAAACAAAGCCCCCCTTGGGAGCCCCGTCACCCCACGTTGACTCCATGCCCTCGCCTTGGAGCAGGCCGCCCCACTCCGGGGGCGCAAGCCAGGGCCGGGCCTCCGCCGCCGCTGGAGCCCGCGCTCTCCTTGGTCGGGCAAGTCAAGCCCGCTGCCCGCCCCGAAGGCACGAAGAGCAGGTCGGCCGGCGGGGCAGCCTCACCCCGCCACCAAAGCCAAAAGAGCGAGGCCGAGGGCTGACTCCTCGTCGATGTCCTCCGCCAAGAATCCGGCGCGCGCTGGAACCACAGCTCTGCCAGCATCCCCGGAGGGGCCCAGCGGGCTCCCAAGTGTTCGCAAGTGGGCAACCAACTTTACCGAGACTCCCGCTTTCAAGAGAAGGGCCCCGGCTGAGGAGGCGGCGGGAGGGGACTGTTGCAAACAGCTGTTCCTCATACATATTTCATTACACAATCAGATAATGCGTCCCACCACCTTCTCAATTATTCACAGATAAACATTTTCAAGACGTTTTGACATCTGTCTTAGTGCCTGCTATTAATTTAGTAATCACTGTAGTTAAAAATGTATGGGATTTTTGCCGTCGGAGCACCTCCTCTCGGGCGCGCGGGCCCAGTGTTGCTGGGCTGTGGCTGGAACCCTGGGCCCTCCGGGGGTGAAGACGCCTTTGGGGTGAGACGGCCTCTCTGGCGCAAGGACGCTGTTAACGGGAGGGATTAAAGGGGTATCTGGTTATTTTTATTGTGGAAGGTGATGGTTGCCCCCTCCCCCACTCTCATAGACATCCTCCACCCCCGACACACACTTTCCCGCCGCAGCACTGGACTGGACAACGAAGTTCAGCCCTTTGCCCCGGGCAGCGGAAATGGTTTGCTTCTATCTGCGCGGCGGGTTTCTCATAAGAAAGACGTGTGCAACTGAAGTTGGCTCATTTGGGACCCAGGAGAGGGAGAAAGAGAGAGGCCGGGGCGGAGGAGGGAGGGAGGGAGAGGAGCTCACAATCACTAAGAATTCATCACAACAAAAAACTCTAACAACACAGTGCACCCCCATTCCAGAGGTCACAAACCTCCGTAGTTTTACTCTGAGCCCGGTGGCTGGGCAGCGGTGACAAGGGCGTTTAGGAAACACAGAGAAAAATAAATTCGCTCCAGTGAGTGTACACGGGGCATGTGGGGCTATGAGAAAACGAGCTGCTTTTCTGCTTGAGTGATAAATGCTGCAATGAGCTTAGCTTTGTAACTGAAGTTTTCTAAATCAAACAAGCAGAGTTTGGAGAATCTTGTAGAATTCATTGGTAAGTAATAGCCAACATCTCCAACTCTAAAATGCTGATTGTTATTTATTATTGGAAAGGGTCTAAATAAACTATCCATAGAGGGGAGAAAGAAATGCCCCAAGGGAAAGGAGTTTGCTTCCAGACGTCCTGCATCTCAGCTACTGGGAATGGAAGTTACACTTCCGGTGTGGGAGCAATGGTCCCTTTATTCACCCCCCACCCCTTCTGTCACAGTCTCCTTCTTAGGTACAACAGCAGGTGGACCCTTATTAGGGAATAAGGAAAAACAGACCTGGGGAAAGAAAAAAGTCTTGAAAGAAACTGCCCTTCCAAGAAACATTAACAGACTCTAAAGTGATTCACTTTTTATTGTTCAAAATGACTCTTGCTAAAATTTCCAGGAATTAAGTACAGGGGGAGAAGGGGCAGAGTGTTTGACCCCAAAAGGGAAGACATTCTTTCCTACTCAAATCCCTACTCTACCCTATACATTTCTAGGGCAACTACATCTGCTTCAACCTGTCCTCCTTCCCTGTTTACAGGATGGCTCATCTCTTTTTCACAAGAGGAACCTTCCTCTACCCCTTGCAGGATGGACATTTACTGGCTAGCCCAGAAAACCATCTTCCTCCCTCCCCCTCCTATTTTTGTCTACAAGAATTTCCGAACTTACCTTCTACTTTTAGAGAGAGATTTAGGGAGGGAAGTGAAGTGGATGTAAGGGCACCATTACACCCAGGGTGCTAGCCTCTTCTGCAGGAAAACCATGGTGGCTACTATCTGGAAGGTTTATTGGGACTAGGGCAGACAAAAAGAGCTGAAACTACAATCAAGCCAGTGCACTTGCCTTTTGGGAGAGCTACTCTAGGAATCCCCCTTCCTGACTTCGAAGCTTGACCAGGACAGTAGGTTGTTTGGAACTGAGCAATAGGGAGTGAGAACTTCCCAATATCTCACCAAGAAAATCAGTCTAACAAACCAAATAATTCAGTTTGCTTTGGAGTGTTCTTTAGTGGATTTATTTGATATAAAGGGAACTGAAGTGGAGGTTAAGGCAGGAGAGTATGCAGCTAGCTAAGGCTCTTTTTAACGACTAAATTTGGCATAAAGGGAGACAAGGGGTAAAATAAGGGCCCTCTGGCTTCTTGAACCCTTGTTGGGGCTGAACGTTCCTATTAGAAATCTCCCAGCTTTTGAGTGAAGGCGTCTATGCTTTCCACCCTATCCTCCAGAACAGAATCTCATAAACCAATAGTAATAACAAATAAATAATCCGGGTCAAAATGAATCTTTTCTGGATTGCCCTCTTCTGGGGGTCTCCAGCCCAGCTTAGAAGAAGGTGAAAGGGTCGGCCTTGGGGTGGATGAGGTGCTCTTTCTAGTCTCCAGGACTTGATCTGGAACGTTTCACCCAGTCGGCTTAACAAAGTTTCTCCTTCGGGGAGCCAACGTCCGTCTCTCTAGCAGGAAGCCCTTGGCCTCTTGTTCCGCATCCTCATTGGAGCCACTCTCCCTGTCTGTGGCTGCCTGCACACCTGCCTGAGGCTGGGGTCCCTCCGCGCGCGGGCACTGCGGCTTTTGTCTGCATCTGCTCAACTGGGTGTGCACCCGTTCATTCAAATAATACTGTCTGTGGACATTTCTTCCCCCCCCCAATCCTGCTGTTAGTATTCCTCTAATTCTCCCGTGCATTCGGGTACAATTGCATGTACGTTCCGTGTACAGTCAGGTGACTCAGCTTAAAGCCTGAGCTCCGACGTATGCGACCCCCTGAGTCTGCGTGAAGAGGAGGAAGTATGCAAGTGTAAATTCGGGGCTTTAGGTGAGGCGCGAGGTTAATAAGGCTTTCCGGCCCCAGGGCCTTCTAGGCCTCTCTTACACCTTACATCTCCCCATCTTAACTTTTCAGGAAGAGGGCGATCCTCCGAGGATCTTGCGCCGTGTTCCTTGGTGGGGGGAGGGGGGAGAAGGGTCGAAACAGACTTTGGGATCTCTCGGTGGATTTTGGCCGGGCCAGGCCAAATGGGAGGGGTGGGGGGGTCCGCGAAGTCGCCTGGAGGCTCGCGACTGCACCCCTCCACGCAGGCCACCAACTGGACCGGGCGCCCCGGAATCCTGGGGACCTTTTAGGAACCAACAGTGGAAGTGCAGGAGCCTCGAGGGTGAGTAATCTACGTCTTTGGGGGCGAAACTTTCTTCCTCGGCCTCCTCCGGGGACCGGCTGTATTTGTAACTGGGAGCTGGCCTGGGCCCGCCCCCTCGGCCCCTCCTCCCGCCCCCACCTCGGCGCTCCAAGCTCAGCCGGCTTCCGGGACCCTGAGCCCCTGCCACCGCCACGCACCCTAAAGGGCCACGCCATCTCTTAGAGTCCCTGGAGAGGCCTAAGGGCCTGGAGCGGACAGGAAGGGTACCAAGAAGGGTGGTCAGGGTCGTGACGCGACCGCCTTGCGATGTATCCCTCCGCCGGCTGCCGACTTGCTGGCCCGCGCGTCTTCTAGTTCCCGAAGCCGGAGGGAGCGCTGGCCTCCGGCGTGCTGGAATGGGAATGCGGGTGGCTAGCATGCTACTGGAAGCTGTTCTCGAAGGGATGGTGCGGGGACCGGTGCGTTCCTGGAATCCTGTAGATGTGTTTTTTCGTGAGTGTGAGAAAGATGGGTATTCGCGGCTAACTTCAGGTCAGTTTGTTCGTGAAAGGCTGTTGTCAGTGCGTCGGCCTGTATCCTGCGCATTCGCACAAAGTGAGGCCACCTCTCTCCCACCCTCCATACAGCCTCCCAAGCCCGGCCAAAGGGCCAAGACACGGGGCCCCTGTGGCCTGGAGAGGTGAGGCTCTTGCTATGCGCCCCCGGAGTTCGGATCATGAATTCCAAGCTGCCCAGGTGCCCACACTGGGTCAACCTAGAAAACCTACGTGGGAAAGGGGGACTCGGAGAGCTATCCCCACGTCCAGTGCAGGGTGGAGTCCCAAGCTCGAGCACTGGACCTGCAGACCTGGAGTCTCACTGCCGACCCAGCCGGCGATCCGGATGGAGCAGTGCTGGTACAGGGTGGAGGTGGAGATGAAAAGAAGGGTGAAGAAAAAACTACACTGGGTGGAGATGGAATTGGGCAGCTTCTGAAATCGCCGGCTTTTCCCCCTGCTTTGGCGAGGTGCAGCGGGCTGCGCCGTTACCAACCCCCCCCGAAAATAAAGCTAATGATGTAGTAATTTAGGAGGGGGTAAGGGGCTGGGCAAAAGGAGGGAGGAAGGATGGGGAACACGCGCCCCAAGAGCGAAGGCAAACAGCTGTGGAGGCTCTGCCCGCAGCTCAGGCTTCCCAACAGGTTAGCTAGACAGGGATCCACCCGGCATTTCGCAGGAAAGGGTGGGGGTTGGGGGGAGACTGAGCGAGAGGGGGAGAGAGCCTCACTAGAGGACAGAGGGAGGGAGAGAGATAGGAGCCAGAGCGCGCGCTGCGCGGTTTAAAAGGAGACACACTTCCTAATGAATATTTATCCGCCGCTGCTTCCTGCTCCCGGCTTCCCTTACCTTTCCGCAGGTAAGATCCTCCCTGCTTCCCAGCTCTGGGGGCGGGGGGTGCTCCCAGCCTCCCCAGTCAGTCTCGGGGCAGAGTTGGCGGGGCGGAGGGGTTCTCGGCAGCCGAGGAAGGGGAGTAGGAGGGCGACTCCCTCCCGGCTGGGCTGGGGCGCCGGCGCAGGAGACCCGGCACTGCCAAGGCCGCGTGCGTGGGCTACCTGTGTGGAGTGGGTGTGAGTGCGTGTGTGTGCGAGGGAGAGGATGTGCAGCCGCGGGCGCGAGCGCCTGTTCCCCGCGCGCTGAGGACGTTTTTCTGACTTTTCACTCGGACGCTCCGGATTTCTTGCCTTTGCCTTTCTCTGCTTCCCTCTCCTCCGGCTTCTGCCCTCTCCACCTCCCCCACCCTGTTCCCAGCCCTGGCCCCTGAGACGCTCCTCTGCGGGCTACTGTATATAGCTGGCGCGTGCTCCCCGGGGCTGGATCTCTCATAAGAGAGGGTCTATAGGTGGGTTTCTGTCCCCAACCCCCCCACACAAAGGCCACGCGGCCCAGGGGTCGCGGGTCCCCTTCCGGCACGCTCCACTCTGGAGGTGCTGCGGCGCGTTCCCCTACCTACACGCCTCGGGGTACCGAGGCCCAACCGACCTAAGGGTGATCGGGCCTGCGGGTCCCGGATGGAGCCGTCCTGAGCTGCAGCTGGGACCCGGAGGGCCCCCTGGGAGAGAGCAACACAGTCCCTCCCCCACTTCCTCCTCCCGCCTTTGCCCGCTGGAGGAGCAGTGGGAATTCGGGGCTGCCAGGCGGGGGGGAAACTGGGAGGGGAAAAGGGGAAAGGGGGGCCGGGGAGGAGCTGGTGCTAGAACCAGAATTCTTAAATGGACTTACTTGGCCACCTGTTGAGAATCCATGTGGGGTCGGCCGGCTCCGGAGCTGCGCGTGGTGGACACACAAAACCAAACGCCCAAGTTGGAAAAAGAAAATTCTCTCTCTGGCCATGCCTGGCGCAGCCTGTCAGGCTCGCAGCTCCGCAACAGGGTCCGGCGACTGCAGAGCCAAAAGCAACTTTGCCAGGTCTTAGCCACCCCAGTGTCCCCCTCATCCCACGCTTCCTCGGCTCAGAGGCCGGGAGCTGAGAGCCCCCGGACTCGGCGCTCAGGGCCCAGCACCCGCAGTTCGGCTTAAGCCGGGACAGGCTTTCTAAGCCCCGCTCAGAAGTCAAGAGCAGCAGCGCCGCCGCCTCCTCGCAGCCTTTCAAGACGCGGTCGCTTCTTATTCTTGTGCCTCGGCCTCTCTGGTCGCCCCGGGACAAAGCCCCTGGAGCCCGGCCGCTCCCTTCCCGCTAAATCCCCTTCGGGGTCAAGGCGCTACCAGCACCCGGTCTCGCGCTTCTCCTGCCAGCACTGTGGCTCTTAAAAGACCGCAAACCTCCCCCCCAACCCCCTCACATACCCCCCACCCCCGCCACCTCGCCCTGCGCGCTCCCCCGACCTCCGCCTCCCCGCCCCTCTCCTATGGATCTAACCCCCCACGCCGACGCCTCAGGTCCCTCCTGTCCCGACCGAGGCCCGCAGATTCCTAGCCCCCTCCTCTCACCTCCTCCCCTGAGCAGTTGGTGGGCCTGGCCTTGGGGCCACAGAGCTGAGTTGTGCCCTCCGCCTTAGGACACCTTTTCTCTCCAATAGCCTCAACTCCTCTCCTCCCTGCTCCTACCTTTGGCCTTTGCACGGATCAAGGCCCCGGGCACTGCCTTGCCCAGGGCAGAGATGATTTCTAAAACTCGTCAGTTTGGGCTTGAATTAGGAGGTCTTGGAATGGAAAAAGGGGCGGAGCATGCCAGTTGAGCTGGGGGAGAGAAGAGGAGCAGACCAGATGGACGCAGAAGGCTGTGCTATCCCAAGGCCTACCTGGCCTTTTGGCAGAGGATGAGAGCTGGATGAAGCCACTCATTCCTAGAGGTGGCCATTCTGGAATGGGCTCCAGGGGTTACCAATCTGGCCAGCCCATGTGTCTGAGAGATCGTGGGTATGGGGGGGGGGCCACCTCCAGAACGCCCAGAGTGTGGATCTGAGAGCAACCTGCTTTCCAAGCTCTGTGTATTAATGCCCCCAAAAGTAAGCCTTAAAAGCCCAAGAGCTGGGTGAGCAAGGAGGGGCCTTGAGTAACAACTGTCCAGGGAAAGGGACATCAGGAGAGAGAGGGTAGAGAGGGGAAGGAGTCTACTCTTTCAAAGGACTGAAGCCCAATTGCTAACAGGGTTCCTGACATTTGCTGGTCAACAGTGTCACTTGCCCCACCAAGAAAAGGAGAAGTAGATGGTGCTTTAGTCCTCCTTCCTTCCAGAGCTCTCTTTTTCTCCTTCAGGCCTATTTTAGTCTTAGTCTCACCTTAGCAGCCAGCTGATCCTGTAAGGGTGGCCTTTTCCCTAGAGCGCTTTTTTTCAGGCCTTCTGGAGACCCGATGTGTGATCAAAGAAAAAATCAGAGACATTGTAGCTAGGACTGGGGACAAGGACAGGGTGCAGTGTGGTACCTTGCCTTTCCTAGTGCCAACTATCAACATTTGACTATGCTTGAGGTCTGTGGATGGTGGAAGCAATGATGGTGTGCCCACCCCTTCTTAACTTCAAGCCCTAGCACACCAGTTCTGGCTGTTATACCTGGGATCTCTGCAAAAAAAAAAAAGTAGGCAGCCTCCTGGGCAGTGGAGACCAAAGGAATTTGGAGGGGGAAGGAGATGGAAAGCTGACCCTCCACCGGCATCTACTGTCTGCTACACCAAGGTTAGTCCACTTGCAGTTCTTTAAGGAACTGGGGTGACTGATTTGAAATTGACCCTCTGAGAAATGTTGGCGGTGCTCTCCTTAGGCTACAACCAAAGGCCACAAACCACCCCCTGCCCCCCCCCACCCAAGTCTCCCACCTCTTTTCTTGGGGCTGGGTAACCACAGCCAGCTAGGCCTTATTTGTGCCCACTGTCCTGGCATGGCAGTGGGAGGTGCGGTGGCCCAAGACGGAGCAAACTTTTCTTGTTTGAGGATGTGGGGGGCAGAGGGGCCTTCGGCGGGCGGTGGGGCTCATTAGGCAGAGCGGGGTGCCGAGAGGTGTGCGCCGCCAGCCGGGAGGCCGCCTTTGAGCGGTCGGGGCGGCTTCATTAAGCGGCGCTAACAAGGCATACAAATGCCGGGCCCAGCAGCTTTCTTGCAATGTCGGGGCCTTAGCAGGGCGCCAGGCTAATGAGGGTCACTCAAAGGGGCTGATCAAATATTCAAATTTCCCCGCACGCCGGGAACTTTTATGTACGGAGAAAGTTGAGGCAACTGAGCCTTGTTTACTGTCCAGGTCGACAATTACTCTGAGCGCGGGTCCCCGGAGGCTAAGGAGGGGCGGGGGCGCGGGAAGGGAGCAGTTGTTGTTGTTGTTGTTTTTCATTCAAAGGAAAGTAATCGGGGTCCTTGAAGGGCTTCGAGGCCTCCCCGCCTGAGTGCTGCGCTCCCCTGCGCCCTCCTTGGCCGTCGGCGCCAAGTGCCTCAGTTTGCAGCTTGCGGGGAGGCCCAGACCGCGGGCCAGCTCCCACCTCCCGAAGCTCTTGGGGGCTGGACAAGCGTTGCCCCCCAGGACAAACTGGCCTATGGAGATGAGCGAGGTCGAGTGGGTGCCGCTGCCCCAGCCCTCAGGTCTCCCTCTCTCGGAGGCTTCCAGACCCCTTGGCTTTGCCGGTAACAGAAACTAGGAGAGCGTGGGACTCTCTTAGACACCTCTTCTGGTGAGTTGAGACTGCCTCGGTTGGGAATGACATTTGTAAGTAAATGCCCAGTAGGTCCTGGTACGAGAAGGCTATCTTCCAGCCCAAAGCCCTTTCTCCCCTCTTCACCTGTGCTGCTGTCCTTCCCATAGCCTGGGTGAGGATTAAAGCAGAGACGATGGTGACAATTTGTGACCTCGGCCTGTACTGGTGCCATAGCCCAGATCCCGGAGTCTGAGCGGCCAGAGAGCAGAAGAAACCTAGAGACCCCGCGGGCCGACCTAACCATCCAGATCTCCCTTCTCTGAGAGACCCAGGGAACGGGAGGTGCGCGCCATCTCCTCCAGGCGTCCCCCAGGCCCACCTCCCGGCCCTTGCGCTGCCTAGCACGTCGGATCCCCATAGTAGCGGGGCGCGCAGCCTGGGCCCCAGAACCCGAGGTCCTTCTTCTAACATCCCTCCCCAACGCCCAGCGTCTAAGAATTTGGGAGGGGAAGCTCTGCCGCTCCACCTCCCCACCAACTTCCCGTCAGCACCCTAGACCGACATCCTGCCGAGTCTGTCCTCCCAGCTCGGCCGGGAGCCAGTCCAGCCATCCATGCCGCGGACAAGCCGCCCCGCCTCCCTCCCCAGCTCTCTGGACTCTCAACTTACGGGCTCCCGGCGGCAGGCGTGGTGCTTCGGGCCGGAGAGGAGAGCCGCTGGCAGCTGCGGGACCGCGGGGTGGGCTCGGTGGGCGGCGCGGAGCTCGGCTCTGCGGGGAGGCTCAGACAGCCCGGGGCTGCGCGCCCACCCCGCCGCTCCCGGCCCTGGCCGGGCGCACAAAGCTGCGCGCCTGGCTGCCGCCCTCCGCCCCGCTTTGCACCCAGCAAGCCGCTGGAGGGGTGCGGCGGCTCGGCAGGCTCCCCGGTTGAGTCTGGGGGCAGAGGTGCCGCCGAGCTGAACCTCAGCCCCACTTGCTTCAATTCTCCTGGAGTGGCGATGGTTTTCGATTTCAGCGCTTTCGGCAGAGCCCGCGGCACCTGCCCAGCCTCCCTCCGGGGCCGGCCCAGCAGCGGGAGAGGCCGGGTCGCCCCAACCCGGAGGCGGGGGTTGCGGGGACTGGGAGGGGACTGGCTGGGTTCACCCGCCCGCCCGGCGCCTTGGGTCCTCGGTTCCAGGGGATGCAGTTTCGGGGTCACGAGCTGTTTTCAAAAAGTTGAACACAATATTCGGAAACCCACCCGTAGGAATTCTCCCCCCACACGCGGCACAATACCCACTCCCCTCCCCTTTTTCATTCCTTCCTCCCCCGCTTCCTCCTCCTGCCCCTTCCCCCTCCCACCCCTCAGCCTATAATCCTTCCCCGACGAGAGAAAGGAGAGAAAGGGTCGGGAAGAAAAGATGAAGTGTCTGTTTTTGTGTCCCAACCTTAGGGCTCTTTCTGGGCCCGCAGTGAGCGACCGCCTAGAGCTTCTCAGCTGAGCAGAAAAGGACTTGGCCGGGAGGAAGATTCACGGAGGGGAGAGATACACGGAGCCCCACAAAGTGGGGCTTGGCAGGTCTTCCCTTTGAATATTTAACTGCCTCAGTCAGCGGGTTTAAGACCAGCGACCCTAGCTGCCTGGGGGCTGAGTAGCCGGTGTCTAGTCCCTTCGCCCAGCCCACAGTCTCCCAGCTGCCGTGGAGCCTCCAAAGCAGCTTGCATGTCTCACCCTGGAAGCCTGGTGTTGGGGGAGTCAAGGCCTAAGGAGACCAGAACTAGGGGTTTAGGGACTGGGACACTTACAGTCCTAGTCGCGTTAGGTTTCCTATTTAAATTCTCTCACAGTCTTTCTTGCCTCCCTCTTTGAGATCTGCAAAGTGGTGCGGATGAAGTGCCTCACCCCCAGATCTGCATCGGAATGTAGAAAAGATCTTTTTTTTTTTTTTTTAAAGAAAAAAAGTTTTGAATTCCTCAATGATTTTTCTTCTGGAAAGGCAGCTTAGGATAATTATTTCAGCTTTATTGAGGGCAGATTAGTTGAAGTCTGGACGCTGCGTTTTCAATACACGTTGTACACTGGCCGACAATGTGGGCATTGTTGGCTACTGTGTGTGAACTCATTCAAAATATACACTTTTTAACACCAAACCAAGTCCTGTCTAAATATACACAGTGCTCAGGGGAAAGACATCACTGACCCCGACAAATCTGCGTAAATCACACTTCCCTAGTTACTGAAGCCTCACAAAGGGAGGCCCCGCTCGAGATGCTGATTACATGTTCTTAAATGCAACATACCTTAGAATAAAAACCCATGCCTGGCCTGGAGGTTGCAGTGGCCAGTGGGAGGGAGAGCTCTCTTCATGTCATGGGCCTTTTGGGGTTTGTTTTAGGCTTATGATGTTACATGGAATTTTTTTTTCTTTACTATGTGAGCAAACAAGCAATTTCCAGGCCTGCTTGCTTCTTCAGGGCAGCCTCCAAAGTTTGAGTGCCTTCTGGGGTTGGTAGCCAGATCCACTAGCCCCCTGGGGGTTGTGGGGCTACCAGGCATCTTGGGAAGGGGGAAGAGGGCTTTCAGTCATCTCAACCCAACCTTCTGCACCACTCCTAGGGAGGCAGCTGAAACCTGGGGGGAAACAAAGGTGGGTCGCATTTTATGACGAAAAGGGTACTGTTTTTTCTATTGCTATTTAAAAATATAAGGCAATAGGGGAAATCAAGGCTTCTTGACTGGAAACAGAATTAAAGAGAAACCAGATTCAATGCAGAGGAAGTTGGGGGTAAATGTGGCTGAAGATTTCAGACTAGGGAAGCCAGAGTGGCCTCCTGAGCCCTGGGTCCTGAGATACAGCTCCCAGGCGCCATATGCCCCCCAAAATTCGAGATCCTGGGGCCCCCCAGCCCGCGGAACCAGCGTCGGCGTGCGGTGGGCCCCATGATCTCATCTCTCCTTTCTTTCTCGCCACTATTAGTGCTCACATAGGCAGAAAGAGGCGGCCCGACGTGCACACCGTGTGCAAACCGTGCTGGCTCCCCTGGCCCTCGGCCTCTCCTTGGGGGCTGGCCCCCGGCCTTCATGCAGTGTGGGGAGCCTCTCACCTCCCAACAAAATTCCCGCTTTAATTGCTCATCCCTTTCAAGAACTATATGTCCATGGCTTGTAAATTTTCTGGACCAACTTCTTTGGGGAAGAGGGGGAAAGAGCTCAGAGACAGAAAGGAGGAGAGAGAGAGAGGAAGAGAAAGGGAAGTGGTGAGATTAAGAGTTGCAAAGATTTTTTTAAAAAATTCTCTTTCTCCCCCCTTCTCCCTCTTTCCCTCCTCTCCCCCTCCCCCCCACTCTGGCTAAGTGGTAAAACCGTCCTTACGTTCTCGGTATTGATTGGCAGGGCTGACAGTGATTGGCAGCGGTTGCCGTGGCAACGCTACAACGACACGCCGCAGACCAATAGAAAAGCGAAACAAAATGTTTCAATGCTGCACTCACTGTGGATTTAGGGGAGATATTATGAGGCTGTTGTCATTAGGGCGATTGCTGTGGAATCGCTGAATCTTGACTCGGCGGTGGTTGGCTCTCGCTCGCTCTCTCCCCCTCTCCCTCTCTCTATCTCGGGCTCTCTCTCTGCGCGCGCGCACCGGGCCGCTCTCCTTCCTCCCTCTCTATGTGGCTGCGCGGCTGTGTGTGTGTGTGGATGTGTTCGGGGTGTGGGTGTCCCTTACGCCCTTCCTCCTCCCCCTCCTCCCGCTCCCCCCTCCTTCCCTCCTCCGCCTCCCCCCGCTCCTCTCCCTCCTCCTGGTCCTCATCGCCCCTCTCCTCCTCTTCCTCCCCTCTCTCTTCCTCTCCCTGAATTTTCTCCTCTCCTCTCAGGTCAGTCCATGGTATTCCGCTCCCCCCTAGACCTCTATTCCTCCCACTTCTTGTTGCCAAACTTCGCCGATTCTCACCACCGCTCCCTACTTCTGGCGAGTAGCGGCGGCGGGAACGGCTCGGGAGGCGGCGGCGGCGGCGGCGGCGGGAACGGTGTGGGAGGCGGCGGTGCTGGCGGAGCGGGAGGCGGCGGCGGCGGCGGCTCCAGGGCCCCCCCGGAAGAGTTGTCCATGTTCCAGCTGCCCACCCTCAACTTCTCGCCGGAGCAGGTGGCCAGCGTCTGCGAGACGCTGGAGGAGACGGGCGACATCGAGCGGCTGGGCCGCTTCCTCTGGTCGCTGCCCGTGGCCCCCGGGGCGTGCGAGGCCATCAACAAGCACGAGTCGATCCTGCGCGCGCGCGCCGTGGTCGCCTTCCACACGGGCAACTTCCGCGACCTCTACCACATCCTGGAGAACCACAAGTTCACCAAGGAGTCTCACGGCAAGCTGCAGGCCATGTGGCTCGAGGCGCACTACCAGGAGGCCGAGAAGCTGCGCGGCCGCCCGCTCGGCCCGGTGGACAAGTACCGCGTGCGCAAGAAGTTCCCGCTGCCGCGCACCATCTGGGACGGCGAGCAGAAGACGCATTGCTTCAAGGAGCGGACTCGGAGCCTGCTGCGGGAGTGGTACCTGCAGGACCCCTACCCCAACCCCAGCAAGAAACGCGAACTGGCGCAGGCCACCGGCCTCACTCCCACACAAGTAGGCAACTGGTTTAAGAACCGGAGGCAGCGCGACCGCGCCGCGGCGGCCAAAAACAGGTCAGTGGCGGGGGCCCCGCGGCCTGGCTACCGTCTCCGGGGACGGGGAGGGGGAGATGGGTGGAAAATAGGCTTGAGCGGACAGGAGGCAGGAGGCGAGCAGCTGCCAGGCGCGCGAGAAGCCTAGACCTCTTGGTCAGTTTGGAGAAAGTTTCCGCTTGCCCGGGAGCGCGGAAGAAGGGCGAGCGTGGTCGTATGGGCTGTTTTTTCCCTGAAGGGGCTCGTGTCAGTGTGGAGAGAGTATGGATGAGGTCCTGAGTGTCCATACCCTCTGGGTCGGGTCCTTGGGAGCCTTAGCCCCGCGCTGCAACCGGGCCAGCCTTATCAGCCCGGGATCCGGCTCTGGGCTCCACTAGAGCCTGCAGATAGGGAAGAAAGGAAAGAGCTCCTTGCCACCTGGCTGTTACTTCCACTCACTGCAAAAACCCTGGGAGGAATCCACGAAGGTCTGGGAGAGGAAATTGAACTGGGTCCCTGCCACAAGGGGAAAAGGCCGAGGTGGCCACCGTGCAGCAGGCCTGTTCCCAAGGCGTTGCAAGTTGTCTGACCAGCAACTGGAGAACCAGGCTGGGAGTGGAGAGGCCGCGGCTGTCTGTGCAGCCCTCCTGCCCTAGCCAAGGAACATGCCGTTGGTCCACTAAATTAGGGAATAAGCAGGAAAAGAAGTTGCCTTGCTGCCTGGCAAGTTGGTCACAAAGTCACAAACTTGTACTGGGCTTGACCTGTCAGCAGAGCTGGGCCTGTGGGAAGTAGGGAGAAAAAGAAGTGGGGAGGTACCGGGCAGGGAGAGAGTTGGGTGAAACCCGTAGGGACAGCCTGTATCCCGAGCCTGCCTGGGTGTGCCCTGGCCTAATGCACTGCAGGGAACCAGGCCGCAGCTGCTGACAGCTGCCTGGGCTGCGGGTTGGGTGTGAATCCCTGGAGGGAGGGAGTGTTTTCCGGTTTGGGTGGCCCAGGCCTGAGCCTTTGGCCCTCTCACCCCTGCCTGTGGAGGCAGTTTTTCGTCCGATGAGGGCAGCGCCCAGGACCAGGAGAAGGCCTCCTTGTAGAGAGAACTCAGAGAGATTAGGTACTGGCAGCCTGGAGCGGGGAAGGGGCAGCCAAAGATGGCTCTACAGTCTCCTCCTGCCTCCTCTATCGCCCACTTTCTCTCTCGCTCCTTTTCCCCCCGCTTTTCTTTTCTGCTCCCAGCTTCACCATTTTCTCTTCCCCCGATCTTGCGCTCTGCTCAGGGATCCAGAGAGCAAAGCCAACCGGTCCTCCACGGGAGAGGCAGCGGGCGAGCATCCGGCAGCTCTGGATTTGTGCTTGGGGGAGCTGAAGCAGGAGGCAGGGAGGGGACCTGTCTGCTCCAGGGACAGCCAACTGAGTCTGAAGAGTCCCAGGGTCTGGGGAAGTAGAAACATACTGCCTCTCCCTGACTTCTGCCCCTTTGGGGCTGGGCCTCTTTCGCAGCAAGCGCCCAGGCCTCCCCAGGCAGCCGGCCTGGCGTTCTACCTCTTCCTCCGAGGCCCGCCCTACTTTGGGAAGCTTTGGGAGGCCCCAGAGAACCCCGGGGAAAGGGAGACGGGAGCCCAGACCGCGCTGGGGAAGGCTCTGCTGCGCTTGGGATCGGCTAGGTGCCCGCAGGAGGGGGATGAGCGCAGAGAGCGGAGTCGGGGGGGTGGGGGGTGGGGTGGGGTGGTGGCGAAGGGCACTGGATTGGGGAAGGCGGAGTAGAACGGGAGCGGCAGGCCCGGCTCCCAGCGGCGCGGGCTTGGGGTGGAGGGTTGTCGGAGCCGGGTGTTGGGGCCGCAGTGTCAGGGGCGCACCGCTTTCTGTCTCCCGCAGGCTCCAGCACCAGGCCATTGGACCGAGCGGCATGCGCTCGCTGGCCGAGCCCGGATGCCCCACGCACGGCTCAGCAGAGTCGCCGTCCACAGCGGCCAGTCCCACCACCAGCGTGTCGAGCCTGACGGAGCGCGCGGACACCGGCACCTCCATCCTCTCGGTAACCTCCAGCGACTCGGAATGTGATGTATGATACCCAAGGCCGCCCTCCTCCCCCCTCCCCGCTCCTTCCCCTCCTCCTTCACCGCCTCCTCTTCCTCCTCCATCCCCAGAACAAACCGAAATCAGGATACACAATCATACACACACCTAAATACACACACACTTCCACTCCAGCCAAAAATATATAAAAACCAAGAAAAATAACAAGTTAAATGCAAACCATCAGCAACTCCCAACCACCATCTACCACCACGGCCACCCCAAAGGACCGCGACAGCCAACAGACAGTCACAAACGCTGATACTGCGGGCAGACAACATAAAAGAGGTGACAATTGTATACTTTCTAGGACAAGCACGGCTTCTCCTTTCGGTTCCCACGGACCCGGCACCCCACCTGCATGACGATTTATTTGTATCTGGGAAAATACTCTCTCTAGTTAAAAACGATTAAAAAAGAGTCGACTATACAAAAACCGACCGCCACCACGACGACAAGACGACAAAAGCAAAACAGACAAAAAGAGAAGGAAAAAAAACCCGCCATCTCCGTTCGGAATTTGTTAAAAAAAAAAAAAAAAAAACTCCTCGAGAGGGAAATAGCAAATGTTTCTCGCCTTTTGTTGCGCTCTCTCTTTTCTCCTCTCTCGTGCTCTTTCTTTCTCTGTTTTTAAGTCCAAGTATTGGTCAAACAAAATGCAATCTTCTGTTTTTTGTTCAGCAGACAATCATTTTCTTGTTAAGCACCTTTTTCTCTCCACTCTGTCACTGCCTGTGTGGGTACTGGTTATAAATGTGGAAAAAGAATAGTTATGACTGTAACAGATTTTTATTTTTATTTCAAAATTTTATATGAATTATGTATATCTTAATGATCGGTCATTTTCCCAGTTTGTAATATATGTGTAGAAATTGCCTGTATATGATATTGCTTTTTCTCCTCTCCCTTTCTCTTTCTTTCTCTCCCACCTTTTCCCTCCCTCCCCACTCACCTGTCTCTTTCCTTTTTGGGGTTCCCCTCCCACTCGACGTTCCTGGCGTCGACTTGGCAGTCAAGGTGTGGCGTGTCGGGCTGGGTGAGGAAGAGGGACCCTGTCGCTTGCAAAGCGGAGAGTGAGACTGTAGTATTCTTATGCAAAAGCTATTTCAAGTATTTCTTAGCTGCTTTGGAGGTATCTCTCACTCCCCGTAGGGCGCTTTTACTGTTATCTTAACTGCGTGTTTATCTATATGTAAAAACTTTCTAAAGCAAATACAGTATTCTCCATTTTCTTATCACTCCCCGGAGACTGGTGTTTTTGTCCACCACTGTGCTGCAGCCCTGCGGTGCAGCGACCTGGCCTTTGCTTCCACTCCCACTACGGGGCCACTGAAGCTGGGGCAGAATTTTAAGGCTGAATGTGAATTTTTTCCTGGAGAAGGGGAGAGGGTGGAAAGATGGGAACAGGCCCTTTGGAAAAGACCCAAAGTCAAATCCTGAGAGAAAAGGCAGAGATGGCGCAGGGAGAGGGGACCAGGGCCAGTTTCTTTAGCACCAGATGCCAGGCCTGAATCCCTAGGGACTGCAGCCTTGTCTTGACCCCATGGGTCTTTTGGTTGTTACTGCTTTTTTTTTTTTTTAAGGGGAAATAAACAAGGTTACCAAATGCAGGCATAAATCTAGAGTGGAACTGACAGGTTTTGTCTTCTTAAGTGGGGGTGGAGGTGGGGGGACTACTGTAGGCTGGGTAAGGAGGTAGTTTGAGGAGTTCAGGGCCTAGAATCAGGATGGAACCCCTCCTTGCCTTATGGCTGGCTGTCTCCTTGAAATTTCTGTCTTTCGGGATCAACTGGAGCCTCTCAAGCATTTCAGAGTTAAGTTATACTTTAAATCGAACCCGCCCTCTGCCCCCCAAATCTCTGCATTTTGCCAACCAGGTTCCCTCTGGCCCCAGGCCTCCCCGCCCTGCACAGGGTGGAGGGGTGAGGGTGGGGACCCACGGCTCCCTGTGATGGCCTGGCTGGGTGCCTCTACCGCTCTGGTGCTCTGGGCCGGGTTGGTCTGTGCCAAGGAGAAGCCAAAGAGGGAATTTCTGAAAACTTGCCTTCACTTGAAAGTCCAATTTCCAGAGCAAGGGGGATTAAGGGGAAACGTGCCTGGAATTTTGCGCCAGTTTCCAAACTAATTTTGATTTCCGATTTCCTTTCGTCCCCATCCTTGGCAGTACCATGGGGTTGATGTGGGATGGGCTTTGCAGAAAGGCGGCCAGAAAAGGAGTTGCCCTGGGCACAAGTGGGGCCTTGTGCACCTCGGGCTCCCACATGTGTGGAGAAGTTTCCCACCTGCCTCCTTGCTTAGAATCAGGACATCGTGACCACAACCACCTTGAGAGCTTCCAAGTTCGGAGACCCGGCATCCCAGTATCAGCGTCTCTACTTGTGTTCACTGCCCAGGGTGGTTGGGGGGGGCGCGGAGGGAATGTTCCTCATGGAGCCATATTTCCTGCAGTAGTGACCCAAGTGGTAGGCATTTGGGGAAGGGGCTGCCTGGATTCTGTTCAGCTTGGGCCTCTGATCAGATGCACAGAATAATGTCTGGGGTGAGGGGCTCTGTCTCCTACTATTGTTTTCAAATGGCCTGTCACATACCTGACCCAGACCTTGGGCCTGGAAACGCAAGGCGTGGCTGCTTCAGACAGTGTCTGGATGGACCCTACCCAACAGACCAATTAGAAGTGATGGGTGGACAGAAAGAAAGGGTGCTGCTGGAGGATGACCCCTTGAAAGGTCTTGACTGGTGACACCAGGGAGCAGATGACTTTTTATATGGGGACAGGGGGCAAACCAGTGGAATTAAAATGCTTCCTTCTCTCAACATACCTGGCAGAGAAAGCATTTGGGCATTCAGTGCCCACTCCTCCTTTTCCACTTTATCCTCAGGGGCCCAGGCCCCACATGGTGTCACCAGCCAGCTATTTGTCTTGCTATCTCTTGTCTGCCACTCTCATCTCCTCATCTCTGCTAGGTCTGTACAGATACCAGTACTCCACTCTGCACTGTCTGACCTTACCTATGGATTCCCTGCAGGACAGGCATGAGTGCTGGTTGTGAGTGGTGTGGATGTGAAAGCTGACTTCCACCATTCAGTCAAGTTTTCTATATAAAGGTGTGCATGTGTTGTGATGTTTGATATAAAAGTGTGTACATGGAGTCCGTGTGTGCCCTGTGTTTTCATGTCTACTGCCTATAGTGTAGGTATTTTGGGGTGGCTTGGGCAGTTTCTGTGTCCCTAGTTCTGCAAGGAGTGGGTTAAGTACACCTACAGGATGCTGTGTGTACAGGAGTTTCTGTGCAGTGGACAAGTGTCTTGTGAGTCTTGAATCTGGTGTGGACATGTGTGGGTTCCCTTGTTCTAGTCAGTCCACCAGGCAGCTGCCCACCCCTAATCCACCTTCCTGTCCCATTAAGGAATGGGAGTCCTGGTGGGTTGTCTTTGACCGAGAGTGGGGGGAGCCAGGCTCTTCTGCTTCCGCAGTCCACCCTGTACCCTGACACGTTCGGATGTTACACTGGATTTGGCCCCTGCCCCTTTAAATATTAAGGAGAGAGGGAAAGAGACCCCTTTCTGGCCAGATCTCTCCTTTAATCACTGCCTGCCCCTTTTCTTTCTGGGTCCCTCAAAGCCACAGCTAAGGCAGTCAATGTCCCAGGAGCCTGGGGGCAGAGCTCAAGGGCAAGGCCTGGCTGAAGCCCTGCTGGGGAAAAGCCACCGCAGCCGCTGTACGAAGTCTCTACCACCTGGGGATGTTGCAGATTGTGCCCTGGCGAGGGGAGTGTGTGTACTTTCTCGGCAGACTGGGCAAGCAGGACCCAACGTTCATCGGCCCTCCTCTGCCTGGACCCGTGGCAGCCCAGGGGCCAGCTCCTCTCCAGGTGCCGTGGTACACGCTGCCCTGGTGCATCCTGCCTGAATGCCGGTGCTCTTCCCCTCTGGCGCCCCAGCCAGCACACTCAGGCTGGAAACATTCCCTGTGTGCATAAGCCTGTGGGGGTACCTGTACCCCCCTACTCTAGGATGGGTCGTCTACTCTAGGATGTGATGGGCTTAAAGAAGAACTGCCAATTTGGGAAGATTTTCTTCATTCCTGCCTTCCTCAAAGAAAACACAATGGCGATCCAGGATTTGCACCAGAAACCTGAACTTGCAGAGTGGGATGCAAAACCAGGAAAATTTGTGTCAAAGTCATTGACCTCTAGAAGCTGCCTGCCTGAGGCAAGATAGGTCATTCCACCTCCTTTCCAGCCTGCTCACCTCTCCCTCCTCAGCCCTGCCCCCAGCTCTGCCCTGAGCCCCCACCAGGCCCCTCTCTTGGCCCTCCTCAGAGCCTACGGAATCGACTGCCCAGCGCCAGTGCAGTTGATTATCCCTGGCAAGACCTACAGCTGATTAAAATGAAATGACCTGGAAGCTGCCACGGCGCAGAGTGGGAATGCTGATCAATTGTGGGACTGGAGACACAAGAGCCTGGCTGGCCTGGGATTGGAGTTGGAGGCCGTGGGACTAGCCAGGGATGGCTGGACTTGCATGCACAGAGGGCTCCAGTGATCACTGGGAGTTCCAGGCGCAGGCCTAGGTGAACCAACTGGGGATAGAACTCAAGCCCTAGGATGGGCTGTGGTGGTAGAGTGGCTCCCTCAGCTTCTTCTGAAAGGAGAATGGGTTAGCCTGGAATATTCTGGACCCAGCTCATGGCTCAGGTCACTGGAGATCACGAGTCTGTTGCGTTAGGACTTGACTTCTCCGAGCAGGGGGTGTCTCTGTCTCTTCTTCTTCTCCCTCTCTTTCTCTGTCTCCTTCCCTGCCTAGGTCTTTGTGCGGCTGTCACCTGAGGCACCCACTGCCACCTTGGGGAATTTCCCTGGAGCTCCCCTTTACCCCCAAGATCTGGGCCGAGATGTCCAGCTCCCTGGGATGCTTGCCCCAAGTTCTTGGGCTCAGGCCTACTCAACTTCTCACCACCTGGGCCCCTTCGGGCCCCAGCTGAGCTGAGCCTCCACTGTCCCGGCGCCCTGGCCGCGTGGGTGTCTGGCCCGCGGGAGGGCAGGAGGGAGCCGGGAGGAGGGGAGCAGTGCTAGCCGGCTCTGATTTCTCCGGTCAGCTGAGCACAACTTTCCATTCGGGTGTATTCATGCAGGTGCTGATTGAGCAGGCTGTGTCGGGCGGGGCTCTGCAGGAGCAGGCAGGCAGAGCCAGCCTGACAGAGGCCACACCGCACACACACACACACACATCTACACAAATACACCCCCCCCCATGTTAGGCACACACCTCAACTCCAAGCCATGTCATCACAAACCCAGTAGAGCCCTCTCCCTCAGGCATCCGCGTGCCCTGAGAGCAGTTTCCCAACTTGTGTAAACCTTCCCAACACAACACAGGGCCTGCCTGCCTTTCTGATCTCCTCTTTAGAGATTCCATATCGGTCCTCAGACACAAACACAAGAACCCTTCATTCTCCTCCCCTGCAGGCACACTCTCCAGGGTGCGCTCACTCCAAACTGCACAGATGCACACAAACGTGGTCAGTTTCACAACCGCATCCTCCTTTGGAGCCATCCAGAGCTATTCACAGCGCAAAAGAAACACATCTGCATAAAATCGTCTTTGCACCAAGAACATTTGGCGTGGAACCTGTGATGCACAGTGGGCTAGGGCTCACCAAAATTTCACATCAGAGAAGAGGAACAGGTAAGCGATACATACAGTCAGAGAACACAGCCACCACACATCCACCAGAAAACACATGGAGGATACACAGAGGAAGCCTTCAGATATACAACATACATGAGCCAACCCAAAGACAATAGAAATGCCACCGGGAGACCCTGCAACCTCCAAACTTCAGTCTGACTCCAGGTACTTGAACACCACCCATTTGCTCAACCTCACCCACTCTCGCAGCACTCGCGTGCACGCGCGCACGCGCACACACACAGCCTTCCCACTCTCGTCCGCAGAACAGCAGCAGGGTCTCCACTCCCAGCAACATCTCCCCACTTTTCACAGAGAAGCCCATGACGCTCACGGACTTACACACACACTTTTTTTTTTTTTTTTTTTCGGAAAAGGGAAGGGCCTTAACCTGCAGGAGTCGAACCCTTCAGACACTGAGGATGTTACAGAATGTGCTGGCAAGAAGGGAAGGCACACGGAAAGTCACAGACACTTGTATGCATCGCCTCCGGCTCTCACTGCCGGACTCGGGGAGAGCCTCTTCGCGGGGCTGGAGTCGCTCTACAGACCTCCAGAGCGCAGGTGTTCTCCCCTAGGAAAAGATGGGCTTGGGGCCAAGGATGAGTTCTTGGACCTCTAGAGGAAGCGGGGGACTGTACTCAGCCCAGGAATCTCAACAGGTCTGAGGGGACCGAGGCAAGGCCCAGCGGGGAGGGGAGCCCGGCGGCGTCCGGGGGTGACGCGGTCCCTGAAGTCTGGGAGGCTGCCGCCTGGCTCCGCAGGACGCGCTCCGCTCCTCTCCGGCCCGCTCCCCCTCCCAGCCTTCTTGGCGCTCTCTGGCGTCGGGCCTTTGTCCCCGCTTCTCTGGCTCGGACTCACGCTTTCTTCTTTCAGGCCGCTGGGAGGCGCTGTGGCCGAAGTCCCAGCCTCTCCGGGCCAGGATGCCCCGGCTTCGCAGCCTCGCCCCAACCTTCCCCCGGGGATCCCCGCGGTGGTGGGCCGCCCTGGGCGAGGGCCCGGCTGTACTTGGGGAGGCAGCCTGGAGCCCTTCCAGACCGGCAGTAGCTTTAGTTTGTTGCGTTTTGAGATGACTATTTACCATCATAACTAATTTGCGATCTTTACTAAACAGAAATTCCTAGCAGGGCCCCTTGATGACTGAACGCGCTGCTAATTATGGGCGTGCGCGCCTCTGGCTCGTTAGCCCGCGCCCCGCGCCGCCGCCTGCCGCCTGCCCTCGCCAGGTCCGGTGCCCACTGGCGCTGCAGGGTCAGGTTGGACTGGGGGGCGGGGGCAAGGAGGGACCGAGGTACACCTGCGGATTTTTGGAATCCAGGCCCTGGCACCACGGCCTTTGAGATGGAAGCGGCTCTGACTTCACGGGAAGGAAAAACTGAAGCTCAGGAGGGCCGTGGCTACAGTCACACAGCCGGCATGTCCCTTCACCCCGCCACCCTGTGCCTCTAATGCCGCCCCCGCCCCCGGCTTTCTAGCCTGTGCACTCCGGGTAGCTGAGGAAATACTTTCCTAAGAATCTTAGGTGGGCGCAAAAGATGAGGAAAAATGGGAGAGAAAGGAGTGGGAAGGCCCAGGAGCATTGGGCCCAGGCTCTGCCCGTCTGGAGGCATCTTCTCTCAAGCTCCTGAACTTGGACTTTGCAGGGAGGTAGCCCCAAGCAAAGGCTCCTGCTTCAGGGCCCAGTTGGGAGAGAGGCGCCCAGCAAAGGGCAGCAGGCTGGATTCCCAGGAAGCCCAGAGGATGAGTGGGATTTCAGTGGGCTCCTCCTCCAAACTGGACAGGGCTCTGCAGGAACCACCAGCTCTTCCTAGAGGCATAGGACTCCATGATGTGTGTTTGGATGTGAAGTGTGTGTGTCCACGTGAACCTTGATGAGTGTGCAGTGAGACCGTCCACATTCCCCCAAGACGCAGGAGAAATACTGACCTCGTGCCCTTGTGACACCTCTACCTGTATTTGTACCAGAGGGGGAGGGACATTGTTGAAAGTGACATATGCTTTGGATACCGCTGCATCCAACTTAGTCCAAAATAAGAACTGAGTGGGGAGGGAGGGCCAAAGCACAGTCAAGCCTAGACCTCAAGTAACTCACCATGGAGTAACTCACAGATGAAGTATCACTGAAAAATCAACAGATGCACTCGAATTGCATACAGAGCGTTTTGGGAGGCAACTTGGAGATTAATTACAACTTTGGAGTGTTCCAGCAGAAGAGATGGCTTTGACCAGAAAGATGAAATGTACTCCCTGGAGGAGATTCCAGGCAGGAACAGTAGGAGCAAAGGTAAGGAGGAGGTTGGATTCCAGCACTGAGCAAAGTCATGTGGCAGGCGCCCACATGCACAGGAAGCTGGTAATGGAATCTGAGAGAAGGGGGTGGGGGCGGGTTGGGTCTAGATCCAGCTCAAGTTCAGGTAAGTTGTGTGGCCTTGATCCCATGGGTACTGGGGAGCCAAATAAGGCTTTGGGGAGAGCTTTAGAAATCACACTCAGAGCTCTGCTTCAAGACTTTGAGGGAATGAGGCTGTAGGCTGCAAGGCAGGTCAGGAAACGGTAGGCAGGAGGTGAAGGGGACTGAGCTCAGGCTTTCCAGCTGATTGAAGACAATGCCAAGGAGGAATGAGGGCCAGTGGGAGACCTCTGGTCTCCCTTGATGATGTGATTTCAGCGTTGGTCCCAATTTCATAGATCTGTAATGAGGTCCCTGTTCTCACCTTCTAACCCTCCTTCCTCCAGAAGCATCATGACCTTCAACTTAAAAGACTCACACTTTCTCCTTAGAGGGGTTCTATGGGTGAATCCTGAGGGCCAATCAGAGCCGTGTACCTTTCTGGGAAACCCTTCCCCTACCCAGGATGTTAGTGGCCAGGTCTCCTCCCATGCCCACCACCAGTTTGCTTTAGTCTAACCCACAGTAACATTCACTCCGAGTGGGAGTGGGTGCTAAGGTTAGGGAGTAGCTGGTGTGACCCGAGGAGACCAACACACTAGGTGAATGGGAGTGTGGCCTGGGTGCAGGGTCCTAGAGAGAGATGGAGAAGGGGACCCAGGACTCACGAGCCTGGAGAGTCTTCGTCTTACCGCGACAAGCTCCGCGTAGCTTCTGTGCGCCCTGGGGGGTTTGCCTCCTGCAAACCGTTTCCGCGTTGTTTGGGTCTTGGACTCCGGGGATCCAGACGGCCCAGCGCAGGAATCTGCTATTTGAGAGATTGAGACAACTAAAGAAAGCTTTCTAGGCTGCAGCAAGCTCTTCGAAGCGGAGACGGCGTTGGCTTTGGAACCGTCAGGCGGCTTTAAGATCTCGGTATTGGAGGAATGGGGTTTTAAGGGACCCGGAGAAAGCAAGTGAGTCAAAGTCAAACGCAAGTCTCTTGGCATCGAGTCCAGCGATCCTCGCGGCCTTTCACGCCTGCCGCTCAGGAGCCCAGGGCGAACCTCCTTCGTGTGACTCGCCAGCAAGTGTTTACTGCGTGTGCGCGAAGGTGTGACAGGTCTCAGGAAGCAGAGCAGGACCCGGGAGTCTCAGCTTCCTGAATCGCTCTCGGGCCCTAACCTGAGCTGTGAGTGGGAACGCGACAGGATGAAGGCGGACCACGGTTCTGTTCCCAGAAGAGTTCAGGACATGAGCCCGCCTTCGGAGAGACCCGGGGAGGAAGGAGAAGGGATCCGTTTCCTTGGTGGGGGTGAGGGGTGCAGAGGAGGGGAGCGGGGCAGCGCGTCTAGAGTCCACGAGTCCCTCGAGAAGCTTCCAGATACCAGTTTAGGAGCTTTTCTGAGCTGGGCACTTGAGGAATACTCCTCTTCCGCCGCCGGGGGTCCGAAAAACCTGGCCGGGGCGCTCAGCCTCCACCCGGCGGCGAAGCGAAGGGATGCCCTGCTTCGGATGTGCGCGCCCAGGCCAAAAGCAGAACCTGGTCGGAGGTGGGAAGGCAGCGTGCGCTCTGGGCAATTGGCGGGTTTTTGGTGCCACCTCGCGGCTGCGGCGCGCAGCGTCTCAGTCCCGGCCTCGGACGGCTTGGACTGCAGATGGGCAGCTAGGCCTTTCCTTTTCCTCTTGGTTTCCCCCCAGCATCGCTTACCCCAGGATCGCCTCTTTTTATTAAACAGTCCCTGTCTTGTACCAAAATCCACAGTTTTGCATCTGTAGCCCCGTCCATCTTGGCTGTGGGATTTGGGTTTACCTCTCCTGCTCCATCACTTCATGGCAAATAGATGGGGAAACAATGGAAACAGTGACAGACTTTATTTTTGGGGGGCTCCAAAATCACTGCAGATGGTGACTGCAGCCATGAACTTAAAAGACGTTTGCTCCTTGGAAGAAAAGCTATGACCAACCTAGACAGCATATTAAAATTTAGAGACATTACTTTGCCAACAAAGGTCCCTCTAGTCAAAGTTATGGTTTTTCCAGTAGTCATGTATAGATGTGAGAGTTGGACTATAAAGAAAACTGGGCACTGAAGAATTGATGCTTTTGAACTGTGGTGTTGGAGAAGCCTCTTGGGAGTCCCTTGGCCTGCAAGGAGATCCAACCAGTCCATCCTAAAGGAAATCAGTCCTGAATATTCATTGGAAGGACTGATGCTGCAGCTGAAACTCCAATACTTTGGCCACCTGATGTGAAGAACTGACTCATTGGAAAAGACTCTGATGCTGGGAAAAATTGAAGGCGGGAGGACAGAGGATGAGATGGTTGGATGGCATCACTGACTCAATGGACATGAGTTTGAGTAAACTCCGGGAGTTGGTGACGGACAGGAAGGCCTGGCATGCTGCAGTCCATGGGGTCACAAAGAGTCAGATACGACTGAGCGACTGAACTGAACTCCTGCTCTATCCTCTTGCTTTACTATGCAGTTCCAGAGTTGTCCACCTGGACTGGTAATGCGTGTCTCCTTTCTCCTTCACTGTTCACTTCCTCTCCCTCAGATGCCTCCGGGCCTTGTTCAGATGGCACAGGGGCCCTGCTTCCACCAGGATAGCTTATCTGGTGGGATGTCACACGGACCTAGCACACACTCATCCTCTCCACCGCGTCTTGCTGAGTGCCTGTTGTGTGCCAGGCGCTGCTTTACCCTCTGGGACAGCGGGTGGCAACGTGGACTGCAGCTGCCCAGTTATAGTCCACTGGAAGCAGAGAAATGCCATACATATTTCAGCGCCCACATGGAGCATGAATAAAGAAGGATCCCAGAGGAGGGCCTTTGAAGTGGTTCTTCAGGACACGTTTTCCAGGCTGGTGAGGAGGAAAGGACCATCCAGGGGACTGGGAAGACACTGTGTGTCCAAAGACACTCATGGGTGCTGAGAGAGACAGATGCTTTCTTGGGGTGCTCCTTGTTCTGATGGTGAAGACACTGCCTCCTGTGAACAGTGTGGCAAGTGCTGGTTCATGTTTTTAGTAGGACCATAAAAAGTCAGAGGTCAAAGGAGCCTGTGGCATCACTTCCTTCTCAGTTAAAAGAGATCAGGAAACAGACCCAGGATGACTCAGGCTCTGGCCTTAAGCACCTCTAACACTATAGAGTCCCAAATAGTGCCTGAGGACCCTGGGCACCCGGGCTGGGATCTCAGAGGGGAAGCAGGTGGTGGGAGGGGGCAGGTGGTGGGAGGGGGCAGTCCCCATCTCAGGCTCTTTTCCTTTCACAGGGATGGTTTTGCCTGGCTCTCTCTTAAGCAGCATGAATACTGATCTTCAATCTCTTCTCAACAAATCCCAAACTTGGAAAGCTCTATTTTTGCTTGTTTGTTTGGTATGTTTGATGCCAAAGCTATTTGGCAACAAAATCTGACCTAGGCTGAAGTGAAGCTATTTATAGTCTTTATTTGTCCCATTTGGCATAGATATCAGATGTTTCACAGTGGAAATATTAGCGTGTTTGATTACAGGTATGGCTCTGTACCCCCAGGGTGGTAGTGTAGAATATATAATACAAGCACCATTATATGCACCTTCCTGAAATCCCACAGATCCTGAATTCCCAAA